TGTAAGCCCGAGACTGATGGGCTTGTTACTTGAGGCCTATGCCCGACCTCGTTTGGCTGATGGATTGGGGAAGTAAGGTGCAGACTTTATGTTTTTTAACTGGTGTCCCAATTAAAAAATAAATATATAAATAATGAAATATTAAAAAAAAAATTATGAGATGCACAAATAATAGATAATCTTAAATTACGAATCCTCGCCCTGCTCTCGCGCCATATTTTTGTATCCGCTGGTTGTTGTACAGTAGTGGTATAATATGACTATAGATACCGTATCAGGCGAAATGTAGCGGAGCGGTAAACATGCATGTTTTGTGTGTCAAGATAATCGAACGTATGGGGTTCAAATCTCACTCATATGAACCTTTATGCAAGGAACATACCGGTATCTCTCGTCACGTGTACTGCCAATATGCACGAGCTTTAATTGGTACTGGTGATCGATGTGGTGGCCAACCGTTTTCGTAGGGAAGACCTAGGGCTTTTAGTGCTTTATCCGTGGCTGTCGCCATAGTCAATTATATGAGAGTTGTAATTGCTTGGATGTTAGATCTGTGCGTATGGTCTATTGGTATGATACTCGGCTTAATTGATGGGAAAAGGTTGCAGGCTTTACTAATACTATTATAATACCATGTTTCCATTGGAGCACTGTTATTATTTTTGTTACTCATCGTTTACAGAAAGTACAAAATTCAGCTGCCAGGATATGTTCACTTACTCCACGTAAACAACACATTACTCCCATTCTTAAAGACCTTCATTGGCTTAGCATTAAACAACGGATAACATTCAAGATTCTTTTGCTTGTTTTTAAATCACTCTTTTTTAAACAACCATCATATTTGCTACATTTTCTTACGCCATACTCTACAACTCGTGCACTTCGTTCTTCCGATAAATTTCTTCTTCAAGCCCCTTCAAAAAGGAGAATGCTAAAAACATATGGACAACGCTCTTTCTGTTAAGGCACCTTATCTTTGGAATCTATTACCTCTTTATGTTCGACAATCTTCAAATTTAAACTCATTTAAAACTAATTTGAAAACTTTTTGTTTACAAAATCGCTTTAATTGAGTTAATTGTTCACTGCATGCGCCTTTGATAATATTTTGTGAATTGGCGTATTATAAATTTCTGCATATTATATTATTATTATATTATTTATCTGTTTGTTTAAGTGGTGTATACGGTGGTACACAACAAGTCTAATATAAATATTATTTACTATGATTTTGAAACTGTGACCATGAGCGTTTTTACCTTAACCACGGCACATGATGTGTGAGCGTTTCAATCGGTCTTGTGAGATAGAAAATGTCTGGGGGACCATAATACTTGCGCGTACCACCATATATATTTCCGTGGTCTAATGATACTCAACTTGATAGCGAGAGGTTGCAGGTTCTAATCCCGCAAGACTTTTTTTCATAGAACTGAAAAAAAAATAACATTTCTTTGAAGGTTACAGTATGCCTGATACGATTAGGCTATAAGGTCATGTTCCCTTTCGAGCAATGTTTATTTATTCATGCATAACACATACTCTTATCAAATATTTATCCCTCCAAAGTCCAGCCATTGTTTTCTGCATTGTTGTTCTAAAATATTTAGCCTTTAATACGGAAATAAATGTTCATTCACCTGCGTATATGCTTATATTACGTTCACTATGATCAATCGGCCATAAAACTTCAGTTTTCTATGTGTTATTATCAATTATAATAAATTATTCACTATCAATTCTGATGATTCATATTACAATTCTGACGATAACATTTTAATATGAATAGTATAGTAGAAATATAGCATTCATATCATAGATTTATCATCACTTTTATCGTTTTATTCTAGGCTTTCATTTAAATTACTATAGAATATTTTAAACTTACATTCCAACATAATTTAGGGAAGCTATTATCAGCATTGTTGTTATGAATATATGACTATTTTTATATGAAAAAATAGCATTAAGTAAAACATCATCGTCTGTTTATAATTAATAGTGTTGAATACTCATTTTTATATAAAGATTAGGATAGATAGTAGATCTATCTTCATTTTTAGTTGGTTATTATGAAACTATTGTCATTTCAGAAATAACTGAAGTTGCAAAATACGTAAACGTATCTTATTGGTAATATGGCATCCAGCACAGGTAAACAAAATGAAACTGGTATTACTTTATTTAATTATGTTAAGCCCAGTATAAAATGAGCATTGTTGTTCTAAAATATTTAGCCTTTAATACGGAAATAAATGTTCATTCACCTGCGTATATGCTTAGATTACGTTCACTATGATCAATCGGCCATAAAACTTCAGTTTTCTATGTGTTATTATCAATTATAATAAATTATTCACTATCAATTCTGATGATTCATATTACAATTCTGACGATAACATTTTAATATGAATAGTATAGTAGAAATATAGCATTCATATCATAGATTTATCATCACTTTTATCGTTTTATTCTAGGCTTTCATTTAAATTACTATAGAATATTTTAAACTTACATTCCAACATATTTAGGGAAGCTATTATCAGCATTGTTGTTATGAATATATGACTATTTTTATATGAAAAAATAGCATTATGTAAAACATCATCGTCTTTTTATAATTAATAGTGTTGAATACTTTTTATATAAAGATTAGGATAGATAGTAGATCTATCTTCATTTTTAGTTGGTTATTATGAAACTATTGTCATTTCAGAAATAACCGAAGTTGCAAAATACGTAAACGTATCTTATTGGTAATATGGCATCTAGCACAAGTAAACAAAATGAAAATGGTATTAATTTATTTAATTATGTTAAGCCCAGTATAAAGTGATTAAAATAATGATGAAAATAATAATAAATAATAATAATAATAACAATTATTATTATTATTATTATTATTATTATTATTATTATTATTATTATTATTATTATAAATAATAATCATACTCAGACGTTCCCTATTTAATATCACCACATTTACCCAGGGGCGCGCGAAAGGGAGGCTTCCCCCATTTTTGGAAAGTTAACAAAAATGAAAAAAAGTGACTAGGAAAAAAAAAATTAATATCACCTCAGAGGTCGTTTTCAGGCGTCTAGAAAACAAAAGAATCGCGGGGAATATTAATGGTCCAGGAGTAATATTGTTATGATCGGCTACCTTTTGGGCATCTCTGGATCATTCACTTGTATCCTGCTACTCGGTCTAGTGGTTTTGACACCAGGCTAGGTATTTTGAGGTTGTAGCTTCGAATCCCACCCGACCCGTATTCGATATTTCTTTTGCAAGTATATAAAAAATGATTCTACTGTCAAATGGCGTCTTAATTTAATTTAGCCTTAATAATTATACTTTTTGAGGTGAATAAATTACGCACTCCCTGCTAATTCGTGAGCGAAAACACTTTGATGTCATAAGACATTTCCTTTTTCCATGTACTCTTTGGTACGCACTGGAAGTGGGGGAGATCAAATAGATACTCCAGATAAAAAATATGTATTTCAATTGGCATATGTAGGAGCGTACCTTAACAAAAAAAAGTTAACAGTTTTCAAGTTAAAGTCACAAACAAGCACAAACGGTACACCCACATGCAAACACAAGTGACTGATTGACTGATTGACTGACTGACTGACTGACTGACTGACTGGTTGACATGATAGATTGATTGATTCATTGACTGAGGTCGATTGACTGATTGAGTGATAGATTGAATGATGAACTAAAAAGCTGTTTTATGCTAAGGATATAGTCATAGTCATGATATGATGTCTTCACGACCATAATTAAACATGTCACGTATATTTGTCAAATAAAATTTGGTAGTCTGTGATAATGAGGATAATTACTTTCATTTAACACTTTCATAAAGTCTTTTAACCAATGTAAACTATTTTTAAATACTGATGATATAGCATACAGATGATATATTAAATTATTATTTTTAATTATAGGAATGACTGCAATGCAGTTCAATATTCTCCAATCAGATTTCGCTAACTGGTATGACAACCAGAAATGTCTTTCTATGTTGAAAGTGTTGTTTAGAGATATAGTGGGCAATGCGGCAGAAAAAAAGTCCACGTCAGAATTGTTGAATGATTTGTGTACACAATACTATATTGGTCCAGATAATCTTATTCTACTACGTGATACCATCAGCATCACTAAGCATTTTGCTCTAGGACAGATGCTTAAAAAGAAATATCCATCGTTTCCGGATGTTAAGGACGACATCATTTCCACACAATTCACACCTCACAGACAAAAGCTAATGAAATTTGGAAAAAAACTAACTGAACACGATGTCAAAAGAATAGATGAATTGTATAATTCACCAGCTCCTAAGATGTATCCGGACGCTTGGTGTATGATCAGTGATCTAGAAAAAAATTTGAAAATCGTCGAAGGAAAAATGGAGGAATTTTATATGTATTTGGAGCACCTTAACCTCCATCTGGCTTTAAACGCACTAAAAGAAGGTATTTACTGGTTTATTTGGTTTTTAATGGACAAATCGTTATTATGCCGATGTCACAAGTATTTTGACTCACCTTAAATTCGGTCCCACGAGCCTTAATCTATAATGAATTCCCTTCACCCGGCTTTAAAAATTCGGTTTGGAGAATGTTGAATTCCCTATTGATGCTAAGTACAAGGGGGTAGTTTACAGCTCCCGGGGAACTTCGGTGTTAAAAAAACCATCGACCAGTCCCTATCGCTCCTATGATATTTTCCTAAGGAAACTCACATCGAAATAGCATTTACAATAGCGGTTACTACTTGGCCGCGGGATTCAACACTAGTCTATAAGTGCATGGCTTGATAGTCTAGTGGTTATGGACTAGTGACCTCGCCTTTTGCCACCTTTGGGTAAAAAGCGAATATCAACATCATGCTGGGAATTTTTTTTATTGATGAACAGGCTACGTAGATCATGTCGTTAAACCATTATTATCTACCCACTGTTCCCTGATATCTACCATCCCTAGTTATGTACAAGATTCTACACATTTTTTTTTTAACATTCTTAACAATTTGCCTCACCTACCACATAAAAAGCATATATAGACCGTGGGTTGAGGATCGAAAACGTTCAATTCTGTGACCCACCAATCCGGGCTACCTGGCTTTTGCACAAAAATGTCAATACTATTAAATTGTAACATAATTTGATTGTCGGCAATCGTGAATTTGGGGAAACTGTAACCAAAAATGAGAATTTATATCAAAAGTTGCTACATAACTATAGCCAATCAGAAGACGACTAACAATGAAGTTTGGCTTAGCTGCAAGGCCCTCAGCCAATCGCAAACTACCTTCTATGCCGTTTGTCCAATGTAAATAGTAAACAACAAACTCCACTTGCATGTATGGCGTTGGACAGAAGTTCTTCAAATGATAAATCTGAGCCGGTTTCAGGCATATTTTTGTGATACATGTTGTAAGAACCTAGAGTATGGTTGTGTCATTAAGCGTAAACAGCTTAAAGAAATTT